CACTTTCAGTTTCATGTCCTTAGTTGACCCGTGTTCCTACAAAACTCAATTCAATGGTTACCTCTTTTGGGAAGCCATGCCCCCACCCCAGTCTCAACTCCACCTCCCCTACTCAAATCACGGCCTCCTGCCAGAATTGCCACAGTTTCCTCATGTACTATTTTCTAGCACTTGCCACCAACTCTGATCACTGCCTGTGTGATTATTTCATTACCATCCATCTCTCTGTAAGTTCCTGGAGAAAAGCCCCAGAGTCAGGTTTTATACTCATCACTCAATGTATTCCATGCGCCCATTAGAGTGTCTGGACACTCAGTGGAATACTTGTTGGATGAATGAATATTTTTTTCATCTGCAAAATAAGAGGAGCTCACCTAGATTTCAATCAGCAAGGTCGAAAACCTAAAGTTCTAGGTGAGCTTGCAGCTTCTGGAATCCTCCACTCTCTCTAAGGCTGGCTACCCAGATTACATCACCCTCACTGACATTAACAACTTGATTACCCTTCCATTCCCCAGGGCTCAAGGGGAGCCCCCAGGGCTCATGGGTTTCAGAGGAGAGAGAGAGGAAATCCTGGTGGGCCGCTGGGTGATGAGTAATCTGGAAGCTTTTTTAAAGCTACTCCCACATCTCCCATCCCTGCAGTAACTTGATGAGACCTGCATCGGGCTTGGGAAAAGGTTACACAAAGGTCACCTTCCTTCTTCTTCCCTGGTCTTTGCAGGTGACAAAGTGTAATGATAGAACAATAAAAGTTTCTGAGGTCCAGGCATTGTGCTAAATGCTGTACCTATAACTCATTTAATCTCCCCCAGGCTACACTGTAATAAGGTAGGTACCACTATGGCCCCATTTCACAGATGAGGAAAGTTGAGGCATAACAAGATTTGGGTATTTGCTCAAGGTCTCAAAACTCCAGAGATCTTACTTACTCTTAACTACTATACAATACTGCCTCTATTTAAAAAGCAAATGTTGCCAAAAAGAGATATTAATGATGTCCATTCCACCCACTGATTCCTGCAACACAGTGCTTTACTACTGGTGGAAGCTGGAGAGAGGAAGTTGGGGCTTGGCATCCCGGTGGGTCATGTGGCAAGGATTGCTTTCTCGGGCTGAAACTCAAGAGCAGTGATGCTTGTGGAATGAACACTGACAGGTTCCCCCCCTCCCCCAAGAATAACAATCACTGGTCTATGGCAAGCTTCAACTCTCTGCCCTCAGAGCTGCTGGGGGTGCGGGGGGGGGGGTAGTTTGTTTGTTTTTTGCAAGAAGCAAGCTATGCGCATCAATTATCAGGAACTCTTGAATCCAACTGGGACCCCAAATAAACGCCCCGCCTTAATCCCGGATGAAGTGATACACACAACTTCCAAAGAAAACCTCCTGACCTTGCAGCATTCCGAGTAAGTAGACCGTGATTCTGGGGACAATGGAAGCAAAGCCGTGCTAACGCATCCTAGGGGATTTAATTTGCACTAAACAAAAGGATGCCATCTCTGATACGGCAACCCACTGCCTCTCCTGAGCACTCAACCAGCCTACAGGTTCTCAGCTTCCGTTGAGCTTAGAATAAAATCCAAAGTCCCTACCATTGCCTCCAAGACTTTACATGCTCTGGCCAACCTAATGTACGCGCCGGTCTATCCTCCTGGGCTCCGGCCACACGTTTCCCAACGTGCCTCCAATTCTCAGCTTCTTCAGGCCTATGCTGCTCCCTCTACCTGGATTTTTCCTGAGTCCTCATCATTCAGATTTCAACTCAAGCATCACCTTCTTCCTCCAAAACTTGGCCTTCAAAGTCTGAATCCCCACCCAGCACCCCTACAGATTGAAAACTATCCCTGAACACTGTCTGGTTCACAGGCTTTCAATACTTCCACAAAAGGTTTGCTGAACCGGAAAACAAAAACCAAAAAACCGAACACACTACTCAAATCTGCCAGCTCTTTCCATTCAACCCCTCAAAATATCTGGGAGGAATTAAGTCCTAATAAAAACGTGTGCGAGCAATGGCTCAAAACCAGGGCGGCAACCCGCAGCAGAACTGCTATCCCGTCTAAAGCAAGTTCCAGGAAAACCCTTCCATGAGGGAGTACACACTTCTCAAGAAGCGAAACCAAAAGGCCAGAACGAGCTTCCTACGAGCAGCGAGGGCCGTAGACGCAGGGCGCTGCCTACCTTGAACTCCGCGGAAAGTTGTGGGGTGTATTCGCGTGTCCAGAGGGCGCGCACTAGCGCCGCCAGGTGCTCGGTGACCTCCGAGCGGCCGGGCGCCGCCCGGTAGCGCCCAAGAGCCAGGAACTCGGCCAGCAGGTCGGTGTTGCTGAGACACTGCACCACAGCGTTCATGAAACAGGTGTTGCCGTGGTTCTTCAAACCCTGCGCGCCCGGGGGCCTTGCCCCATCGCCGGGGAGCTGGGGCTGGAGTCGCGGGGGGCGCCCCCCACCTGGGCTTCCGGGCGCGGCTGGAGCCGGGGCCGGGGCGCAGGCAAAGTCCCCTTCACTGTCGCCATCGCAGTGTTCCGGCCGGGGCCGGGGCCAGGACTGCGAGTCCTCCGGGCGGGAGCGGCTGCCCAGCGCCAGCAGGAAGCGGCTAAGCAGGCGGCGCAGGGAGCGGCGACGGCGGAGCCGGGGCGCAGGCGGACCCCCTTGTACCCCGATCCCCGGGCTCGGCTCCATTCCTCCCATCCGCGCGCCTCCGGGAGCGGATCCTCGGACCCCAAGCGGACTAGCCGCTAACGGGCCTTTACAACCCCGAACAGGAGCCGGGGTGCAGGTTACCTGCAGACCAGGTGTGTGGGGACCGGGTGGGGGCGGGGCCAAGGGCGGGGCCGCCCCTCCCCGCGCGGGAATCCCGCCGCAGGTTCCGCCCCAGGGCAAAGCCGGGCCAGCCACCGCCACTCCCGCCCCCGCGGCGTGGACCGGGAATAAAACACAGAGTCACCGAGGTCACGTTCCCCTCGCCTCTCAGAAGCTAACAGGCCCGAATTTAACCTCTGTTCCTTTCCCCTCCCAGCCTTCAAGCTGTGGAGATAAGATTGGAGTGATAACATTGAAAGCGCCTAGTAAATTTGCAAACTCCTGGCTATTTCTTAATTTCTTGTAATTACGTCCAGATACATATACAGAAAAGGGAAAGAAAAGGAAGACTCTCCAAAGGACAGTCTCAGGCACGGTGAGAGGCGTGCACTGGGAAGTGTGAAGGGACTGAGCGCTTTTGTGCGCCGCTGGTTCCTCCGCAGGCTCCGGTCGGTGCAGACGCGTGGCGCCACTCCCAGTCTGTCTGCGGGGCAGCGGGGGCAGAACCTGTGCGGGGATCCGCCATCCGAGGACCAGAACTGGGAGCCGCGTGTTGCCCCGCGTAAAATAACCTAGATGGTTATGGTTTGCTTTTTTAAATTATAGAGTAAGTTAGAATCATTTCACAAAAACTTGCGAGACTTGATCATCCTTGCTTTATCTGGTGGAGAAACGGGTCTCCAGAGAGGTTAAGGCAACATACTGAAGCCACTAAACCCGAAAGCAGAAAAACCGGAACTCGACTGCCAGCCCCACAGGTTGGCTCTTTCCAGTCTGAGCCCTGTGCAGTATTTGCTTACCAGGAAGTTTTCTGGATCTCAGACGCGTCCCCTAGGCGGTCACCTGCTCATTCCTTAACGCGAAATCCTGGGTGAATTGTTGCCCAATCAGAATCCACTTGGTCTTGCCAGGCCCTCGATTCCCTGGGTAACTGCAGGACTCCTCTCACTTTATCCTCTAACTGTCGGGTTTATAATTAATCAGGCAAAGTCTCGAAAAATGAATTTCGCATAGATTTTCTACCTCAAAGAGAGATCAGCAGTGCCTGTTTATGCGCCAAGGCCCTGAAATGTTACTATTAAAGTATTTGACAAATAAGAGATCCTACTTATTAAATATCCACCTTGATCTATCAAATAGGGCAGCAGCAAGTTACCAGATGCAAAAAAAAAAAAGAAAGAAAGAAAGAAAAGAAAAAAGAAAAAGTCTGTACTGTGCATGGGGCCTTGGTGTTTCCTGAAAAGGTCACTATTTACCCTCTCTGGAAAAGAACCCCCTCTGGATGATCAATATACGACGTCCATTTCCTCCTGCTTCTGTGGCAAGCGCAGGAGAAAGATTTTATGGCCAAAAAAAGCACCCATGAAATTTCATCCTTGATATTCACCCCAGGGTCCTCGATGATACACCTTAGAGAAAGCACTGTAATTCATGTTGTCAAGAATTCTGCTGATGCTTTAATACATTATTTCACTTAATTTTTTTTTTAAGATTTTATTTTTTTCAGAGAGAGCGAAAGCGAAACAGCAATGTGTGGGGTTGCCTCTAGTGCGCCCTCTATGGGACCTGGCCTGCAACCCAGGCATGTGCCCTGACTGGGAATTGAACCCTTGACACTTTGGTTCACAGGCTGGCATTCAATTCACTGAGCCACACCAGCCAAGGCTTTTTCGCTTAATTCTTACAGCAACCTTCGGAGCAGGAATTTATCCTTGTGTTACAAACGATAAAACAGTGGCTCAGGGAATAAAAAAATAATAAAACCATGCCTGGCCAGGAAGTTCAGTTGGTTGGAGTGCCCTCCCAATATGCCAGGTGTGCTGGTTTGATCCCTGATCAGGGCACATGCAGGCCAACCACTGAATGTGTACATAAGTGGGACAGCAAATGGGTGTTTCTGTCTCCCCCCTCCTCTCTCTAAAATCAATAAATAATAAATCAAAATAAAAAGCCACCCAAGATCTAGATTCAAACCCACATCTTGCCCCATGCAGCTTGACCAATGAAATGCTCATTAAGAAGGTGAGCTCACATTCCTTATTTTCAGAGAATATCAGCAAAGTCATCCATGGATGTATCATGAGGAAGGGCTGTGGGGTTTGCAGAGTCCTAGAAAAGGGTTTATGACAGGAAACCAACAACCAGACGTTTATTCATAATAAAAAGACTTTTAATTACAGCTCGGACCAATTATTCTTGAGCATATTTCAATTTTAATGTACAGTTTAAGAATGTCAAATACATTCTACAAAGGAATGGAGAAACTTATAACATATTTTGACTAAAGAACAAAAACAAAAACCATCAAACACAGCCTCAGAGTTATGTAAGCGGTGCCGCCCGACACAACCGCGGGCGGTGCTCTGAATCTCCGCTGCTTCACGAGGCAAACGGGTACTTCCACCTCAGGACGGCTCCGTCTGCGCTTACACTGATGATGTGCTGATTTCCTGGGCTTATCCGAATGCGCCTGATGTTGCCGCTGTGCCCAACCCCAACGTGGGTCACTTCGCCTTCGTTATAATCCCAAACTTTGACCATATGGTCATGTCCACCTGAAAAAAGACATTTATATGGCATTGCTATAACAGAATACAGAGAAACAGCCTTGATTTCAAATAAATGAATTATTTTCAACACATGCCCTGGGGCCAATTTAAAGGAAGACAAACCTGTCTTTATAATAACTCTTTTCCTTGATTATAAAGTATACGTCTGTTGTAGTAAAACTGAGGAAAAAATACAAAGAGTTGGCATTGCCCTTGATCCCACCACCCAGAAAGAACCACTAATAACATCTCGGTTTAGTTCCTCCCCGTCTTTTCTCTGAAAGTATGCAGACCTACATACATGTCTGTGTATGTGACTGAGATCACACCATGTCTGCTTTTATATCTTATTTTCAGTTAATGTGTTTTTGAAACTTTAAGTAATTTGGGTCATTTCATTGTTAATGTCACAAAGAATCTAAGGGCCTGGCAGGAAATGATATTGATGTTGTTCTAACAGGCACGTTGTATAGTAAATGCCCCCAGGAAATACCGATTTAAAAGCCTGGCATTTAAGACTTCAGCAGGAAATAACAGAACAAGACACAGCGGACAGCACAGGCCATGAAGCCAACCCGCCCCCTGCCCCCCAAATGCCAGCAGTTGTGAGGCTTAGGTTTTACTTGTGCCCCTCAGGTTGCTGGGCAAACATTTTGTCTCACTGACATGTGACTTCTACATTTTTCTTTTCCAACCACACTGGCTGCAGTGCTCAGGCCTGACTCAAACCATGTGCCCCCTAGACCCTTTTGTGGTCACTTCCAGTGACCTCCTGCCTGAGAGCTCCTTGTCCCTATTTATCTAAGTCAGGCTTGGCTTTTTTCTGACCCCAGTACTAACCTGTGACGAAGTGCACTCCTTCCAGTGTGATATCCATACCATTGATTGACCCCGACAAAGAACCTTCCAACTCTCTGATTACTGACCCATCAAACACTTCCCAGTAAGCAATCTAGAATTCCGGAGAGAAGCATTAGGCAGGACTCAGCTCAGTGCAATCATCCACTCACATGCCAACAAAAGATGGTTCTACTTTATATAGAAGGTGGCAAAAATACATCACAGGATGATAATGTCGTCTCAAATTATAAATAGGCTAAAGCAGGGGTGGAGAAACCATTTTAATATTTTTAGTATTGGTTTTTAAATTTGCGTTCTATTTAAAGTGACGTTGATGTGCTGGTAAACCTGGATTGCGACAGAAGCGCTTTTGATCAGACCAGGCAGACTGAATCTGAAGTCAGTCGTAAAAGAAAAAGGAAACAGCCACTGCATCGGCTTTCCCACGTCTGCTCTGAGAGCAGCAGAGCCAGGCTCCCGGTCTTGTGGAAGGGAGGGAGGAAGGGCACTTGCTTCCATGGCTTGGGGAATGAGCAGTGCAGACAGTGCCGAGGCTGAGGCTGCGCCCTACACAGCCCACCGCTCACCGCAGCTGTCCCTCCCTGCTCCTCACTCCACCCCTATTCCCAACTTTCTCTTCTGCCTCAAAACAATCAGCATGCCACAGGGTGGACTTTTAAAGACAAATGGTTAATATCTGTCCCCCGCTGGCGAGGGAAACTAGATTAGGGGTGAAGTGGAAGGGAAGACAGGGCTCAAAGGAGAGATTTTTCTCTGAATGCACTGCTTTTATATTTTTTGAACTTTGAAACATAAATGTACAGTGTGTTCAAAAACTAAAATTTCTTTCTAAACAAAAAGCATTTGACCAGAAATCAGGAGTGTGGACTTGGGCATGCACTTCACCACTGTCTTTGTTCATATTGATGGAAACTTACTGTGTTCCAGACTTTATGCCAGGAATCTGCATTCCTCTGAACCTAGCTAGAAATTGTGTAAGATATATATATGATTTATAGATACATTACTTATACATATGATTTATATGTATGTGATTTCATTTGATGCTTGACTGCCTTGACATAAAGTTCTATTTTATAGTGAAAGCTGAAAGAACTACTAAAAACACACCCAAATCCTTGTTTCTCGGGAAGCACACAAGTAATTTGTGCTTGACTACCTGCTTTATCAGCCAAAGAGGTCAAAGCGACCCTCTTGACCAGGCCTCAGGCTTTCCTGAATATTCTCTGCCTAGCACGGTCTTCCCTGAGACATAAGCATGGCTAGGTCCTTCTGTCACTCCGGCCTCACTCAGCTCCCAGGTCGCCTCCTTAAGGGAGGCCCCCTCACTGACCACTAGCCAAGTGGCTTTCTTCTTCCCAGCCCATGTCACAGAACCTGTTCTATTTTCTTTTCAGCTCTGTCACCGTCTCATAGCCTCTCATTCACCTGTTCACTCATTGTTCACCCACGTATTTGTTTACAGGTCCAAGTCTGTGCCCTCCTACTCAAAACCAATGTGTAGGATAAGTAAGCTCCATGACAGCAGGGACATTGTCAAGTCCCCTGCACTTAGAATAGTTTTACAGACTCATGATTTATGGGTTACACATTCTGGTAAAAATTCTAATAAGAGGGAAATAGGCTGGTTCAAGTCTCAGAAGCTGAAACCTAAAATATGGCAAATACCACACTAATTTAGAAACTCTATGAATCATATATCGAAGTATTAATGATGACGTGGTGGTTAACTCCCTCATAGCCATTCGACCCCAGTTCCAAGAGGAAGCCCACTTAGACCACAGGTCAACACAGGTTGGGCGGGCATCAGCCAGTCTGGGCCGATGAGACACAAGAAGGCCACCTACAGAGACTGGAACCGAGGCCGATCCCCGTGACCCCCCATGGCATCCTGTCTGTGTCAGGCAAGTCTTGGTTGGACCGAGCAGCACTTCTTGAGTCTTTATGATAAAGTGTCTCTAAAAAGTAGTCCCCAGTCACCTGGGAAGTTTCAACAGGAAAAAACTTTACTCCTAGATTCAAACTTGGGGATAGTGGGAGGTGGGTGAGGCACCTTTACTATTTTCCCTACAATATTTTTATACTTTTAACTCATCAACATCTTCTATAGCTAGGAAAAGTTAAATATGCAACCTCTTCTTCAGTGACCTCGAAGTCATCTCAAAATCTGAATTAGAAGAATCCAAACCCATTCATTGGATGTGCGCACAATTCAGCTGATCTGATATGGCCGGCAGGGTGCATGACACCCCAGCATCCTCGCTCCTCCTATGCGCCTCTTCCTAACGCCTCCTACTGGCTCCAACGGGAAATGTTCCCCCAAAGGGACCAATCTTCACTCAAGGACACAGACTCTCCAACTTAAAAGATTTCTAATACATTGGTGAAGCAGATCAAGGAGAAGAGATGAGGAGCTCTATTGTCATTCAATTTGAATTTAATCAAAGTGACAACTGGTTTGGGCACAGCAATTCTTTTCTGGCCTCAGAAACTTCCTAACAGTGAAAAGCAGTATGTACCAAATACCTACCAGTGGCAGGCACCCTGCTGTAAACATTATATTCGAGTATGACTTTAATCCTCACAGCAACTCTATGAGGTTGCTGGCATCATCATCTCCACTTTACAGATGAGGAAGCAATGGCACCAAAAGATTACAGAGCATTTCCGAAGTGGCGTGCACGGCTGGTAAACAGCAAGGCCGTCATCTGCAGTGGCGTGGTCCCAGAGCCTGCACCCTCAGCCACAACACCTCACTGCTTTTCCGCTGTACCAGAAAGAGCTTAGCTCTTGCTGGGAGTAGTTACCTTTCTGTCTGTCCCACTGGTAATGATCTGGAACTCCTCAGGGTGGTAACAAACACACTGGAACAAAGTATTGGCCAGGATCATCTGATTCCTCCTGAGATGTCTAAAAAATAGATTCAAAGCTGGAAAACTTGACTTTCTCTCCACTAGAAAATGTCATTACTGTTCAAACTGGATTCGGTACAAGCTTGGATTAGGTTTGGTTTATTTATTCCAAACAGACTTCCTGTTATTCTGCCCACTTCCACATTGTCCCACTGTACCTATGGGGCAGTCAGAGAAGGGGAGGGGGGAGCTTTTCTGAAGACAAAACACAGGACTAAATGGGAAGCCTCAAGATCCGGTGAGAAAAGAGGCTGAACTCAGAGTCAACCTACTACCTTCCACACAAAGTGCTTTATTCCCGAGGCTGCCATTTTTGAAGTGAAAGTCTAGACAAGCTGAGTGGAAAAGTGTGGGGAGAGCTTTCAAATTTGGATATCCTTTGGCCTTACTGAAAGGGAGTGGATTCAGTAGGCTGGGATAAAGCCCACAGATCTGCATTTTTACTCAGCATCCCAGTCGATTCTAACGTGCACAATAGTTTGAGAACCACTGCTTTAGGTACTGCCCCAAAATACGGAAATCAGCTTCTCCTTCCACTGTCAAGAAGGCTGGGCGTCCACCTCACAGGCCAGGCTCCAATGTCTATAAAATGGACCTTCTGCACAGTTTCTTCTCATTATTGAAGTTTTCAAATGTGGTATGTGAATTGAACATTTTTAGAGACTTTGGCACAAATTAAGCAAATATTCCTGCTATGGAACAAGGGGGCTTAAAGCTTTGAAGCAGTCACCAACTATTCATGGAAACAAGTGTAGATATGCACTCCCAGCCTATATTTTCCCAGCGGGAAGTTCAGCTGAAGGCTAAACCCTCCCACAAATGTGGTCCCTGGACCAGCACCAGCGGCATCATTTGGGAGCTTTTACAAATGCAAGATCTCAGATGCTACTCCAGACCTTAGAATCAAAATCCACACGTAAACAAGATTCCCAGGTGTTTTGCATGCACATCAAAGTTGGAGACACACAGAGCCCAAAGACACAGGTGTACTTTGGTTTTGTTTTTTAATATATTAAATAAACAGTGCTCTGCCTTTGCCTTTAGTTCCCATTCTATTCTCTCCAATAAAGAAAATTTTCTATTCTTCTGCTATATCTATATTTTTATAGAGATATAAATACATCTATATATATTTCCTCCCACCTCTGTACTTAAGTCTCTCTACTGCTGTTATATGCAGAGGAGAGGCATCTTAGTAGTGATAGAAGGGTGCAGGGTGGAGGAGAGATTGGTGGAACAGCATCTAATTCTCAAAATAAACACACGGAAAAAAATGCTCATAGTAAAAAAAGTTCTTGAAAATAACTTTGGATTATTCCAACGATAAAGTTCACCTGCCTTGGTCCAGTGAGCTTGGAGTCATGAGCTCTATGGACACAGTGACGTGCTTCCGGTACGAGGGGTCCCTGAGAGTGAAGCCAACCCAGGGGGAAGGGCAATCCCACCTGCCCCACAGTCCCATCCCTAGCAGGCTTACCCTGGGACTGACAGGGTGCCTGGAAGGACCAGAATTTCCGACAATACTTAAGTTATTTCCCTCCTCCCTTTTGGGGGAATACTTAAGAGTTAAATATATACAGATATAGTTAATATATATGGATATCCATAAATATATATGGATATAGTTAAATATATTCCGTATAAATGTATACGGAAAGTGACCTCCCTACCTGTCCAGAAACTTCTAACATCCAGTTCTTCCTGAAATCTATACCCTTTCCACCAGCATCCATGAGTAGCTATGGGGACAAATGGCTTCTGATGAGTACCACTTTGTGTTTTCTTAAATAAGGTTTCTATACTTCATTTGAATCTTCTTTCAAATTCAATACAATGATGGTGTTGTTGGGCTTGTGAGTGCCACTTTGTCCTCCCCCTCAAGGGTACCTACACAAGGTCCCAAATGATGCAGGTGCCATCCGTGCTGGCTGTGACACACTCCTCATTGTTCTTCTTCACCCGGATGCAGGACACGGAGGACTGGTGCTCCTTCAGGGCCTCCTCCAGCTTCTGGATCTGGCAGCCTATCTGCCACACCCGCACCTGAAAGCCACAAGGCACAGGCTTGTAACATGCACTTGGGACTTTTGAAGGGATAAAAAAAATTCTAAGAGTTCTCCCACCTCTGCTCTGCCTGACCTGTTCCCCCTTGGTTGAATAGGATGGGAATGCTAAATTGTAGACCAAGAATATTCTCCCATGAAGCCAGAAAAAATGCACCAAATAATCCTGCACCTGCTTCTACTTTCAGGGCTGAGAAATGTGTTAGGTTCCAGCCATTAAAATGGATAATGCAAGGGCTGCCGCTAACCCAAGAGAAATAGCATATCTACTCACTTCTTCCGAGCATTGCTCTCAGGTTTCTGGTGCCATCTGGAAACCTCATGGGCACTCAGATTCACATTCAAACTTTCATGTCAGTGGCTCGAGTTTAATCATTTAAAAACAAATGGGTTTCAGCCCCATCAAGGATAATACCCACTTTTGATTAAAAAATATATTTTCTAATACCCCTTTGCTATCCTGAAGTGAAATGCATAGGTAATACAACTGCCTACACACAATTTCAAAACAGTCCATATGGTGCCTTAACTGTAATAAAAAAGGAAAGTTATTTAGTCATTATCGCATGTCCTGTAATGGATAAATGCTCTGTTACAACTATATCAGAAAACATAACAATGTAGTCAGATGCTTATGCCTTCTTATATGAATGTGCCGGACCTATGAGAAGAAGAAGTGCAGAAACTGCTCTGTGGAAGTGGTACAGGACACTGACAGGACCGTCGTCCTGGTGAACACTAGACTAAAAACTGGTGTTAGGACAAGTAATTTATGTGTACCTGACCAGAGGAAAAAACAAAGAAACTCATTCTAAAACACTTCCTTAGTAAAGAAAATTGAGAAGCATGAGGGATCCCAAATGAGGGGGGCCGTATTTTTTTCTTTGGTGTCCAAGTAATTTTCCTCTGTTATGACATGGGATGGGATAAGGACTTTGGCCAAAGAAAACAGATCTCCAGGGTTGAAATCCCACTATGAGTGGGGGCATGCATTTGACCTTTTTCATCAGAGCATGGTGTGGGCTCCAGCCAAAGAGCCCCAGGACTAGAACTTTGGGGGTACCGGGCATTAGCCCCTTAGCTGTGGGACTGCTGAGGGGGGAAGGGGACAAGGTGGTGGAATTGGGGTCTTCACAACTCAGGCAACGGCCATTAACCAGTGAAAATGGAAGCTCCTGAGTATTTTAGCAACTACTGCATTCATACCAGGGCACACCTGCTGGCCAACAGCCCTGGTCTGTTGTACTTATAAAGACCTTGAAGACCATGCTTTTTGGAAGGATGGTTCTGAAATAGCTGTGGGGAATGAGAGAAAAGCTGACATGGTCAGAAGATTGCAGTCACTTTGTAATGCGTCATGTCCTCCAGCAGCCCTCATCAGCTCAGGTTTAGCAGCCTTATATGCAACTGGTCTGGTCCCAGCCAAGTCTGGGCATCAACAAGGCTGATGCCGCAAGAGGCCGAAGGAGTGAGGAGGATGCCGAGGGTGTCGGCAACAGTGTGGCTGAAGGGATAAGGGAAGGGAGTCAAGCCAGAAGGGTAGTGATAGGCAGACATGGAGGATTGTTGAGGGCTCGATGTGTCTACAGCGCACCTGAAAAGTGGCTAGTCCAGAGGGAGATGTGCTCTGAGTATACAATGCACACCAGAATGTGAAGACTTAGAGCATATACAGAGTGCAAAATGTCTAATTGATGGGAGCAGTGTTATGTCCATATGACCACAGGCAGCTGAAGCCCAGTGAAGGTAAAGAGCACCCCCTGGCCAGTTCTCAGAGCTGCAACAGGGTCGGGTGAACCGGTGCCCAGGCAGTGCGACTCCAGAGCCCAGACACTCGGCCGCGCGTCTGCTTGGCCCAAACTCCGCTAAAGCCTACACAAGATGCTGTGTCCTCCCTCTCCCTGATGTCATTGCTGGATGGCATGGAGAAAAGAAAGGAAAAGAAAACATGCCACGTCAAGAAAGGGCAGGCCGTGGGGTACGAAAGCAGGCAGGGAGGAAGAGAGGAGAGGCACTAAGGTGAATAGTGGGAGATGCTGCAGGGTCCTCGGAATGATGGAAGGAAAAGGTCAAGTGTCATAATTTCAGTAGTTCTAAAAATAGCATCTCCTTTAAAAGACAAGATAAAGAAAACTTATATAACTACAGTCTTTGAAGGGAAAGAACAAGTATGTATTCCAAAACTTTGGCAGAACACCAACTTGGATTCCTAGCTCAATTCTGTATAGAACATTTTCATGTCTGCATCTTAAATGTCCTTTCTGTGAACAAATGAATTTATATGCAGATTTATATTATTAGAATTTTAATTTATGATGTATTTTAGGATCTCATCAAAATCTTAATTTGGTCCTTCCTAACTCCTAGAACAGGTTAAAAAACATCAAGTAAGTGATCTCTTATCAGGTAGTCGCACTATATTGAGGGCTATTTTTTAAAAAAGATTCTACCTCCCCTTCCCCACCACCGCTGATGACCCTTTTACAGTCACTGGTGGTGGCAATGGCCGTCACGCCGATCCTGTGGGCATTGTTAATGATGTACATCAACCGGCCTGTCTCGGGGGCAAAGGCTCGGATTTTACCATCGTCCCACGCTGGTAGGAAAAGAAAACAAAAAGCAGGTAAGATCAGTATATCACACTCTTTACAGACTGTTGCTCTCCTAAATCACAGGTGAATGTCAGGACTGGGGAGCAGTGGCGATGATGGAGGAAAGACGCCAGTCCCCCACCACTTTCCCGATTCCCAAACTGGTCATGCCTGGCTGAGGGAAATGTGCGGCTTGCCTTAGTTGAACCTGCCTACATGCACATCCTGCTTTAGGGGAGAGAAATTAGAATGAGGAGAAAGGAGGGAGATCAGCTCCCACTTTCCCCTGAGCTGCAAAACTTGTACATTCAACTACTTATTGGATATAGCATGTGGGGTGTACAATTTAACATCCCCAAATAAATGTTGACTTCCTACTCTCCCTCCTGCCTTTAAATCTGATGCTCTGCCCCACCACCTTCACCATCGTCCTCAGCTCAGTAAACGTTGCCACCATCTATCCAGTTGCTCAAGCCAAGAACTTCAGAGTCATTCTTGATTCCTCTTTACTCCTTCTACCCAACCCAACTCAACATCAAATCCATCTGCAGGCTCCATCAGCACCACAGTTAAAAAACATTCTGGATTTGAACACTTCTTAATTCCTCCACTGGGACCACCCTCACCCAAGCCATCTGCCTCTCTCTTCTGGATTATTATAACAGCTTTTCCCTGGCCTTGGATTCTTGCTCACCCACAATCAATAATCTATGCAGGGGTCAGGGTGAACCTCTTAAAACCATGTTATCTCCTTGACCAAGAACTTTCAAAAGCCTCAGTCTCCTCTACTACCACTCTCCCTGAATGCTGACCCTAACCTTACCCTCTAAGCTCCAGACACACCAGTCACCTTTCTAGTCCTCAAATACACCAACCTATTGCCTGCCTCAAAGCTATTGCCCACCTCAAGGCTGTCCCCTCTGTCTGAAATGTTCTTTCCCACATCTTCACATGACCGGCTCCTTCTCATCATCTTTACTGTCACCTATTGACCTTAGCAATTGTAAATAGGACCCTCAAGGCAGATCCCATTTCATCAAAGACTTGAGGAAGTGGGGTGATGGTGGTGGTGAGGGAGTGACCTATGGGGCTCTCTGGGAAAAGAATATTCCAAGCAGACCAAACAGCTAGACCAAAGACCCTACGTGCAATGTGTGTGAAGAATAGCAAAGAACAAGTATGGCCAGTGGGAAAAACCAGGAAGGGACAAAATCAGAGGTAAAAAGGTGGAGGTGGGGGAGGTAAGAAGGTCATATAGGGCCTTGTGGGCAACTGCAGTAACTTTGTCCTTTGTTCTTTGAGAGTGAAAGACCTTTGAATCCTAGAAATGGCATGATCTGACTCTCTTTAATAAGAGATTTCTGGCTTCTGTGTTGAGAATAGTTTGAGGGAGAAAGGTGGTAGGCAGGGGCAGAAGCAGGGTGACCTGGTGGGAAGGCACTTGGGTCATTGAGAGAGAGAGAGAGATGCTGGTGACTGAGACAAGGGTGAAAATGATGAGAAGTGATGGGGCCTTGGATGTGCTCTGACGGGGGCTCACTGATGGGGGCAATGAGTGGAATGTGAGACAAACAGGAGGCGATGATGGCCTGAATGTTTGTGAACTCTCAGTGTGATGCAAGCCAGGAGCTCCTGGCAGCCTCTGTGTGGAGAAAAAACATGCCCAGGGGAGAGGCCAGCATGGAGGATACAGAGCCAAGAAAAGAGAGATTTGATGGGGTGATGGGCTTCTGATGTCAGCATTTAATAGCCAAACCTGAAGATCTACTGGCTTTCCATTGATGTGAACTGCTGAGTCCACTTTTTGACACCTGAGAAAATCTTTACATGGATTGAACATAAGTAGTAGTAATAAATTATTTTATTTTTTTCCATTTTTAAAATTTTACTGTTGTTCAAGTACAGTTGCCTGCCTGTCTCCCCAAGCGCCCCCCGAAACTGCAGCCATCTCCCCCCGCCCCTGATTCCACCCCCCTTGGTTTTAAATAAATTATTATTTTATAGAAGAATATTAGTTTTAGAGATAGATACTAAAGGATGTATACATGAAATATTATGATGTCTATAATTTATGTTAACATTTTTGGCATAAAATAATCAACCAAATTAAAAATATATTCCCTTTGAGATATAACTTAAAGCCAAGGTTTTATCCCTTGAACAACAAAAGGCGTTCTAATACAAGTACCTTGTACTCACTGAGGGCCCAGATTCATTTTGTAATTGAATCACCAAGTTTTCCTGCTAGAGAGAGAGCTACATGCTCTAGGTAGCAATTTGGCAGAAGAAAAATTTCATTCTTCCTAGCTCAGAAAGTCTCCCGGCTGGAAGGGACTTTAAAGGGAGGCTAGACTAGAAGCAAGGAGGGCTGGGTGGACAGTGAGAGGCTGGTCCAGGTTATCCACTGGTAGAGAGCAGGGTGTAATAAGAAAGACAGAGTCCCAGCCCCAGCCACAGCGGGAGGCTAGATCTTGGTGTGTCGACATTACCTGAAATGATGCTCTTGCCGTCTCTCATGAAATCGATGCTATGGCAGGTCATGTTGGGTACAGTGATGCGCAGCAGCTCCCTGTTGGACAGTGTGTGCCACACTCTGATGTCCTTCTTGGCACAGGTGGCAAACAGCTCATCTGTGCCACTGAAAAGAACCCACCAAGAGGATATGAGATGCGGCCATAGAAGAGGCACCATGTTCCTTAGATGCATGTCTGACAGCAAAAGTATGTTTTGTAAGAGTAAAGGAAAGCATGCCTATTAGGCATCAGTTATTTCAAGGCTTGATAGTCTTACAGAAGATTCACATAATCTTATGTGAAATGGCATTTGAGGCTGACAAATCTTCTGTGAATTATCTTTTGCAGTCCTTTCCCTTGAGGAAGGGTTGGGACAAAGTTGCTCAAAAAGAAAATGTCAATATAAAAGTCTTTCAATGTCCTGGTGAATTGGAGGACAGTAAGTAACATTTCTTGAAATAAATTATTTCAGGTGAAAATATTTGAATTATTAAATTATTTCATCGTGAAATATTTATATTAAAAGAGGCTAAACAAAACTTTCCCCGTGAAGTAGATAATCATTAGAATTTCAATAAAGAAAATAAAAAGGGTACTAAAATTCATGTTTGCACATAACGCAAAACACTTCTTTGCTTAGTTATGAGAAAATATAAGACTGTGGACAAGGAAGAGAATCGCAGAGTAATTGGTCAGTCAGGGTTTCTCTGACTGGGTTTTTTTAAAAGGACAATTTCTAATACAGAATTAAAAATACCAATAAGTCAAAAATTTATAGATTAGTCCAATTTGTGTATAAAAAGGAGTCACACTAGGGTACAATAAAGACCACCTGCTTTACAACTGTGGAAGTCTAGCTAAAGTCTTGAGCTAAATTTCAGATTTAAGTACTTCTCAAAGTTTTTCTACATTTCCTCATGAGCACATTGATGAAAAAAGAGTCTCTCTCACTCGTGTTAAGATCTACTCACTTTTGAATTGATAGAAAATAAGTGGATCTTTTCCACAATTTTTTGCTTTGGGGCTCAGAGATAAAATTATTATGGCAGGCTAGTGACTTAGAAAGAATAAATGCTAAACAGGACAGCAGGTAAGATAGAACTCCTTGCCAAACAGTCTCAAATAACAGAGATCAAAAGCCAGACTTAGAGAAGAAACACTTATATAAAATAAGATAAGTTTTATATTGGACACGGCCTTCAGTGAATGAGCTTCTCCTTTGGGAAAGTGAGCTCTTAAGGAGGTGCATGGGCCCCTTGTGAAAATTAAGTATCACAGAGTGAATACACCTAGAGAACTTTCCAGACCCTCTCTACCCTTGATAAATAGTCCACTTGCTCAGGACCCAAGGCTAGTCCAAAATGAGCCATTCGAGAAGTAGAGTGTCCTTAGTTTAGGATCTGAAATGTTAAGTTCCAGAAATAACCAGACTGATTGGATCAAGATGGTACACTAGGACCATATGCTTCCACCCTAGCATCTAAAATCTCATGCATATAGAAATAGAGATGACAGAAATAGAGATAGATGTAGACATGTATACATACAAGTCAGTAAGAAAAAAAGCCGAGGGAGTTCTTCCTCAGAGACCTATACATTTTTAAAATGCTAAACAAAATTCTATAGACTGAAAGGAAACAACACCAAATGCTAACTTAGATATTTAAGAAAGAGTAAAGAGCATCAGAAATGCTTAATTAATTAAAATTTTGAAAACATTTATGGCTGTTTAAAGAAAAATTATAAATATTATACTGATGGGTTTATAACATATAATAGGCATACATGAAAGCAATAATACCAAGGATAAAAACTGGCATAAGGGAAACATAGTGTTGCAAAGTTCTATACTGCATTTTATTTGAAGCATCTAACATTAACTCTAAGCAGACTGTGATATATTAAAGATGTATATTGTAATTCTCAGAGCAACCACTAAAAATTAATGCAAAGATATACAGGTAGAAAGCCAATGGAACAATCAAAATAAAATGCTAACAATATCAGATTTAAACAAAATGTGGCCAGAAAGAAGCAATAGAAGAGCAAAGAAGAGTTGAAACAAAATAAAACAAATAACAAAATGAAAGATTTAATACAACTGTATCAAAAATTACATTAAATGTAAATAGACTAAATATTTTAAATAAAGAGATTATTACACTGGATAAAAAAGCAAGAACTAAAGGGAGAAATCTACAATCATTGCTTGAGAATTTTTTAAAGGATTTTATTTACTTATTTTTAGAGAGGTTAAGGGAGAGAGAAATAAAGGGACAGAAACATCAGTGTGCGGATGCCTCTCACACACCCCCTATTGGGGACGTAGCCTGAAACCCAGGCATGTGCCCTGACTAGAAATTGAACCAGAGACCCTCTGGTTCACAGGCTGGCACTCAATCCAGCAAACCACACCGGCCAGGGCTTTTGCTTGAGAATTTAATACATTTCTCGCAGTATGAGATAAAACAAGTAGACAAGAAATCACTAAGGATAAGAAGATCTGTATGAAATTGACAACATTAAAAGCTTCCACAGAGGAAAAAAAATGACTTTTAAAGTACATACTGAGTTATTCCATTTACGCAAAGTTCAAAAGTAGACAAAAGTAATCTATGGGACTAGAAGTTCAGGTGGTGATTGTCTTTAAGGAAGAGTGCAAGGGTAGTTAGTAATCAGGAGGGCTGTTTGGGGATATTGTAAATGTTCTATTGTTTGACGTGGGTAGTAGTCATATAGGTATGATAGTTCATGTGAGAGAATTGGCTAGTGACTAGTAGCAGGCGTCTTTTGGAAATAATGGAATGTATGTACTAAAATTAGATTACAGTAATGGTTGCACAGCTCTATAAACATGCCAAAAAACATTGGATCGTACACTCTAAATGTGTGAACTTCATGGTACATAAATTATACTTCAAAAAAGCTTCTTTTCAAAAAGAAAGGTAAGAAAAACACAATTACTCATAATTTATGTGTATTCCATATGTAAGATATACTTCATTAGAAAGTTCATTAAAATTCCTCTTATACCTGGCCAAATGATCACTCAAATCTGAGGCTTAAACAAAGATATATTTAGATAAGACCAAATATTCTATACATAAACTGTCTCTGAAAAAATTACCCCCCCAAAAAATCAAAGAAAAAGATGTGTGGGGAAAAAAAGAGAGTGATAAAAGCAAAGAACAAAAGTCATAGTTAAATATAATTAATTGCAAAAAATAATAATATAATCTGGTCTATAATTCTAAATAATTTTTGCATGGAATGTGATAGGAGAAAGGTGAAGAGGCAAATAAAATATATGGAGATTCTTGTTTCTTTGGAAAATAGAGTATCAATGTTAGTCAGCTGAAGTCTTTGACCAAAAAAATGCTTAAATATGCATATTAAAAATTCAAGGGTAACCACTAAATGAATAAAAATAAAATGAATAATTTCCTAGTTACCTGCAGTGGGGAAGGGGAAAACCGGACCAAATAAAATATGACCCCTAACAATAAAAGACAAAAAAAGGAAAAATGTTAAATAGAAAATATTTATAAACCTATTAAATAGTAATAAATATGAATGGATTAAATTCTTTGGAAGAACAAGACTTATCTAAAATGAAACAATACAGCCCTGGCTGGTGTAGCTCAGTGGATTGAGCGTGGGCCTGCAAACCAAAGGATCATGGTTTGATTCCCCGACAGGGCACATGCCTGGGTTGCAGGCCAATTCCCAGCAGGGGACGCACGAGAGGCAACCATACATTGATATTTCTCTCCCTCTCTCCTTCCCTTCCCCTCTAAAGATAAGTAAATAAAATCTTAAAGAAAAAGAAACAATACAAATAGGTTAAAAATAAAGACATACAATTGATAAATAGGCAAATGATAGCAGAATAGACATACAATTGATAAATAGGCAAATGATAGCAGAATATTGCAGAAGTCGCAGTGGTTTGTGCATGCTTTCTCCAAGTATACTAATGCTTTGGTATGCAAAGCAATTGAAAACCACGTACATTAACACAACTAAATTCACAAGTAGAAGAATGCAGTCTTGGCCACCACATCCAGGTACTCCACTGCTCCTCTAGCTCAGCTGTCTCTGTGATGCAGCAGGGGGAGGCGACAAAAGAGAATTGGCTAGTGACTGGTAGTAGGCGTCTTTTGGGAATAATGGAATGTACGTACTAAAATTAGATTACAGCAATGGTTGCACAGCTCTGTAAACATGCCAAAAACCATTGGATCGTACACTCTAAATGCGTGAACTTCATGGTACATAAATTATACTTCAAAAAAGCTTCTTTTCAAAGAGAAAGGTAAGAAAAACATGACTTACAAAACTTGAATAGGTCAATAACTTATATGAGAATTTTAAAAGATACTTGAAAATCTACTCTTCTATACAGCATCCAAACCAAATAATTTCATAGGAAGCTCCTTAGAAAAAGGAGGAGAAAAGTGAGACAAAAAGGAAATGACCAATCAATATTCAAAAAAGATTCACCTGATGGGAAGCAGCAGCCATTTTCACTATTACTAATATTTGGGAAAACCTAACCATAATGACTCTGGTAACCAAAAGTACATTTCATGGATCTTAAGGATCGAGTTTTCAAACTGAGTCTGGCTACCTGTAGAACAACAGTTGTGAATTTTGTAAATTCAAGCAATATACTGAGGAAGTTCAGAGCAAAAACTGACAGCTTCGAAGAATAAATCTCACTGAAGATGAAATGTGTTTCAAAACCAAACAGTGGCAAACTAAGACAGAAGCTCTCTTTGATAACAAAACTGTGGATGGCTGTTTCACTCGTTTTGTGTAAGATTCACCAAGAAATACTGCAACCAGATCCAGAAGGCCTCTCACGGTCACTGCCACCAAGTGCGTGGAAGACTCAAGAGATGCAAAACAAATGACTGGAAAGAAGTTTGAAAGAGGCACTGCTAAGCTTTTCCCAGATAGAGCTAGGGGAATGTAGAAAAGTTCTGCCAGTCTATTTATCCTTTTCATGATGCAGAAAAGCTAACATTCTAAATAAGTCTGAATTTGAATCGTAAAACCTAATGTAGTTGTGTGGTAAAGATCATAGAAAAATTTATTAAAAATAATTCACCATAATAGAAGAATTTAAGGAAAAATCATAATTATGATTTATTATGTTAATAGATAGTAAAATGCATTAATAAAATGACATTTCTTTGCACACTGCACCAAATCTCCATGTTCTCATCATTTTTACAGGTGAAAAATATTTTCCTATTCTACTTACAAAGGAAAGACAACGTCCTGCACAGCTTCAGAGTGACAAGTCAATATGAGGGTCTCTTTGAAATCTGTGAAGTTGACACAATAAATGTGTGATTCTTCTGTTCCTACAAAAAACTGGTGTCCTTCCCCTCGAAGCGTGATAGAAGTGATACCACCTTCTAACTGGATTTTCCTTTAAGAAGAAGCAAAAAGGTAATGTAGGGTCACTTAATCAACAATTATTTATTAACCATCTGAAGCATTACGGAGGGCAGAACTCAGGCACATGACCTGGGAAATGCCTTCGAGGAGGTGACACGGTTGGAAAGGCGGTAGGTAGGAAGCCGGGTACCCTTGGTTACAAAGCGGGAGGCAAACATAGGTTCTGATGGGGAATCTTCACCAGTGAGACACAGCCTGAAGGGGGCTGTGCAACATGGTAGGATGTGAATGGAGGGAATGTTCCAGGCAGACGTGTGAGCACAAAAGACCACGGCAATGAAACACTTCATAAGTTCCATTCCTGGAAAATAGTCCTAACACCAGAGGAAAAGAACCTTTATGTGAAAGGCTGTTACCACAACCTTATTTAAAAGAGTGAAAAGTTGAAAGCGGTCTAAACGTGCAGTTGTAATGAAATGGTTAAATGATCTATGAGACAGAAACTACAAAGAATATTTGCTTAGCTGTTAAAATCATCTTTGAAATACTATGGAATATATATCTATATCCCCACAATAACTAAAAAATAGTATATAGTAATATTTAAAATGTTTATGCTGTTTACATTAAGTAAAAAAACCAGAATACAAAACATTATACACACAATAAGTACAATTATTTTAAAAATTATATGAATAACAGACAAGAAGAAATAAAATGTTAATCGTGGCTATCTTCATCAGAACTTTCAGGGATTATTTTATCTTTTTCCACTTTCTAAATTCCCTTTGCTCCCCAAGTGTTTAATGAGTATGAGTTTTAAAAAAAAGAATATATAAATATAAATAAATGAGGGCCTAGAAACCCAACCTTCTCTACAACCAATTTAGTGTTGACACTAAGAATTCAATGGGGGCTCTTGGGCAAAGAACCAGCCTGGGAAATGCAGTATTTTACAGGGATTCCTGTGTTTCTGGGACAGAGGGCGGTGAAGGAAGAAAGGGTAGACCCCAAGTCATAGTCCAGCTCTTTCACTGAACTACTTGTTCATAGCAACGTACAAAGTTGTATTTCATTTCATTTTAATTAGAAAAGCCATGAAAAGTACAGTGTCTTGTACACGGCCATGAAAAGCTATGAAGAGTATAATAAATGGTACACCAAAATAGCTGGTGAATATTGGTTATTGTTTTAAAACATGTATTCAAATGCACTAACTAGTAGTTCATGGGTACATAATTGGTACCCATTGCACAATAATTTTCACTGAATAAACCAACATTGAAAGTTTGAAATCTGAGTTTCCTTGTCGAGTAAGTTCATAACAGCGTATTTCCTCTGCCATGGCTTAATGTATCAGCTAAGTAAAAACGTGTTTATTAGCAGAGAAGTATTTCCCTGGGTAATAGTGAACTACTTTGGTTTGATTCAACATAGGCCATTGTCTTATTATTGGCAAAGAAACCACCATCCTGATTCCAATTATTCATTATAACAGCAAGATGAAATTCTTGATCAAATATCACTTTGCCAATGTCACTTAGTTGCAAGCTTTCAGCAAACCTCCCTCTGGTGGGTCTCTCCCCATCCCAACCACGTGGAACTTACTTGATGGGTTTGTAGCTGGGGCTTTTACAGAAGGCCAGCAATCCGGCTCCTGAGCCCACCAACAGCCCCCCCATCTTCAGGCACTTGATGGCTGACACTCCCTAGGGGGAGAAAAAGCACTAAGGAGAAGGCCAACTGGTTTTGTCACGAGGAATCAGTGGGGGCCCTGACACGGTGGGCATGGCCCTGTCAGTGCTGCCATGCATGGTGTGGATGAAGCTCAGGCAGCTGCTGCCTGTGGTGCACTGTGGCGCGGGCCAGAGGGCTGGGACTGGCGATGAGCTCCAGTGTTGGAAGTAGCCCTCCTGGTCCTGCAAGGAGCAAGCGCACTTCACCAGGAGTCCTCCCTTTCACCTGTGCGTTCCGAATATGTTAAGAAGGAACACTTTATATTCAAATGAATATGAGAGCAGTCAAATGAAGGAGAGAGCAGAAGGCATAAGCACAGCCAGAGCAATGTTTGCTCCCCAGTCGGCACCATTTTCGTTTAATTCTTATCCTGCAAAGAGACCATATTTGACCTCCAGAAAAGCACAAGACTCCTTATTGTTTGGTGACTATGTTCTCTGAACTAAAGCATGCAGTGCATAATCTTATAAATAATATAAAACATTTGAATTCAAAGCCCTCTTCAAAGTTTGGGGGGGTTGGCCATCCTACAGCACCCACTATGAAGTTCTAACTTAAAAATGTACACGACCAGTATTTCGCTTTAAAGCTTTCTGTAATAATGTAGCCAATTTCTGTATAGCCTTGTGTCTTAATCAAGTTCGAATATTATAAAACGAACATTATGTCCTTCCAAGTTACATTAAATTGAATCTTGCTTGTTTTTGTTCTAAAGTCATTTCATGATGTTGGAGAAGAGAAACCAAGGCTCAGGAATATGAAGGCACAAACCACAATTACATGTTCCCCCAGCTTCACCTCTAAAAGCACCAATCCAGGACAACAGGGTGGGTGCCTGGCCCACGAAGACAGCCAGCCCTCATAAACATGTTTAACATTTGTTCAGGGACTTGGCGAAGTACAGGATAAAGAGTTCGACAGAGTCTCAAATGATATATCTGTAATTTCTAAGTAAACTTTGAGACTGTAGATGATACTGTTCAAGCGCACATGTTCTGGAGCTAGTCTGCCTAGGTTTGTATCGCAGTTCCACTACTTGCCAGCCATGAGATCTTAAATGGTAAGTGCCTCAGTTTCCTCATCTGTAAAGTAGGGATAAAAAGGGGACCCATCTCATCGGACCGTGGGAAGGATCCAGTGAGACAATGTGAGGGCAGTGTTTGCCGCGTGTCTGTCTGACACACAAACATTTACTGAGCATGTTCCATTTTCAATGTTATCATTATGATAATCATCTTGTTCATTTCAGTGCCTTGTGCCCAACAGGTCCACTTGAAACCATTTTAATTCTTTATTTTCTAACTGTCAGGCAAACATTTAAGTAGAATTTCAAGTGGGCATCACAATCCCACGGCACTACAACCAGATATCTCCAGTCTTCCTCTCCCTCCGTCCCAGGAGAATGACCCCGCCCACTTGTGTAACAGGCATGTCGGAATCGCCGCTTTGCAGAATTTACCATCACACCTGCATGGTTAGTGGTCAAAGCATTCCTGGTGCCTCTGTGGATAGCACTTAAGTGACAAGGGTTTGAGGAACGACATCTTTACTGGGGAGGCACGTAGATCCCAAGTGCTGGGAGGCAAAAATACCCCGCAGTTTTCACGTGCTGTTTCCTGGAGTCTTTGGGGCTGTGTCAGGAGTGGCACTGGCAGGGCTCCTCCTTTAGCCCGATCTGCTTCGCCTTCATCTGTTTAATTTACTGGAATCCCTCTCCTGAAATAATCTGAAAGACATTGATCTAGACTACATCCCAATCTCCCATGGGATTATTTCTAAACCCTTCTCTACTAATATTATGGCTTTTCCCATTCTTATGCATCTCCTTAAAAGCTGGGATATTAAATGATTATGTGAGTAAGAAAACTCTGACATGTTGCCAGGAACACTGTGCTATTTTGTAAAGCTACTTGGGGCTATTTGCTGGAAGGTATCTAAGGTTAGTTAGAACCATCTGTCCCATTATCAGACATGACATAGGCAGGTGCATGGGCTTTCCAATTCATGGTTGAGTAGAAAGAGCCCCTGTAACTTTCAAGGGCACTGGGAGAGCAGCATTCGCTCTGTAAAACCATCCTCTGATTGTAGGCTTTTAATTTTGGTTAAGTATCAAAGTCTATTTCACTGGGCTTTTAATCAGAATTGCTAGAAATTCTACAAATATAGACAATCGATTTCTATGTCTTTTCATGACTTGTAATGCTGGCCAAGGCTGAAACCTAGTATCTAGTAATTAGATTAGGAAAAATTTAATATGTCTATATAGTTTTATAGATAAAAGAACATGCTTTTCTTGTATGTGGCAACAGGGCTGCCCAAATGCTGGGATCAGTGCGATCACAAATCACAAAGCCACTGGCCCTGTGCTTTGAAGATGTGAAAAAGGTGTGGTTTTTTTTCCCTAATTGAGGATACCTAGAATTACCTTTGCCTTGAATGTAAACCAGAGGTGAGGGCTTAGAGGGCTAGCCAATGCACCTAGCGAGTTTAGGTGTGACCTTAGGTACACCATAGACTTTTTCTTTTTCCCAGACTCTTCCTTAACTAAAGTCTGTGCTGGCAGTGAAGGGAAGAAATCACTAGAAAACAGCAAAGTGGAGCAGACTTTGATGGTCTCTACTCACCAGACTGAATCTGTCCTTCACAGGCCCAGCATCTGCCAGCAGTTTAGTCCTAGGGTTCATTTTTAGAATATCTCCAGTTGTGGTGCCAAGGTAGAAAAAGCAGTCATCACTGGCCATCTGGGGGTCAGAGAGAAAAGGAAACCTGAAGACCTGGGTTTTTCCAGCCTCGCTCAGGGATGGAATGAGTTTCCTCTGAAACACCAGGAAGGCCTGTGCAAGTGGATGTGGCCACTTCTGTTTTCTCAGACCTAGAGGCGGATAAGAAAAGCTCCAGGCCATACTCAGAGCTGGAGGAAATATGAGATTCCATTTAACCTGAGTATTTCACTTGATATCCATTTGTGTCTGATGTTAGTGTGCAGGCCCTGCTGGCTCGGACCCCTGAGACTCCTCCTAAGGGCTCCTCGGAGGCAGTTGTACTCCTCCAAAGAGAACATGCATTTGCTTTATCTCATATTTTCCAGAGCCTATTTCATGAAATGACTTTGCATTAGACAAGAGGCACAAGTCAAAGGAGGTGGGGGTGACATATCTACATGTGTGAATCCACAATGGAAGCATATGAATAACTCCTCTTTATGGAAAGATTGCATTTCAACAATGAGTTTCATTGTTAGAAACTTTATTTCCAGTGGCAGAAATAACATGAGCAGCATAGGGAATGTGCCTTCTGCTATCCTGCTTCCCTCCAGGTGGCAGCCCAGGTCCCAGTAACACAGGGCCTACCCAGGGTTGAGTCTAGCTGCTCTCTGACTTCTAAAGGGAGCTCCGGAAGGAAGTCCCTCCCTCACCTGTGCCTCCTCAATTGACATCTCTTAAGTCCAGAACTCACCTGCCCACCCCAAGCCCAATGTACATGTACACACAACACACACATCTTGTTCAGCACTGTTAACAGGAACTTGTACTGATAGTTACTTAAAATAACACAAAGTAATACTTGCCGTAACACTCATGACTATTCTTTTCATCTGTCCTGTTTGGCACTCAGTGGGCCAGATTTTTCTATTTGGGAGATCCAGTTCCCATACTCGAATTGTTCCACTGTAGAAAAGAAATTCACAATCAGATGAGTACCCACTCGCCAACCACTTCATGTCTTCTCTGTTGTCTGTATTTCTCGAAGCTGAAGAGAACTAGATATATTTGAGGGTTTGTTACAGCCTAGTGCTCCACCTAACATCTTCCGTCTGATCCTCACACCCACCCTGCGGGGGAGGTTTTACATCCCCCAACTCTCCAAATGAGAAAATGCAGAGCCCGCAGACCCTAGACCGAGATTCCCTCCCGGCTCTCTCACTGGGAAGGACACACTCTACCCACCAGAGTGAAAATAGAGAAATGCACAGATGAACAAGGAGACAAATGAAGAGCAAACCAGAGTTCATTAGATATGTATTCTTTCAGTGGATTGATTTGTGAGGAAATTTTTTAAAGGGAAGGACTTCATTATGGAAATTCTTGTCCTCAAAAAAGGAGAGATGAGACTAAGCAATAAAAAGTGCAACAAAATAGCACCTGGGTGTGGTGAACACACAACACAGTGTGCAGATGATGTGTTGTAGAACTGTGCACCTGAGACCTGTATCATCTTCTCACCCAAACAAATTCAATAAAAAGGAAAAAATCAACACTTAATGCAATATTTGGCATAGTACTGATATTTAAGTATTATATTGAGTTACTGAGTTACTTGAGTTACTGAGTTAATAATTGTATAAATGTACCATGATTAACATCACAGAGATTTTAGCTAGTAGCCTAAAACAGAAAATATTAAAAATATATTGGTCAAGTTCAGTTCTTCTTTTCCTTTAGCCCCCAGAGTAATGCACATAGTTAAGTCTTCAATGAGTACTTTGAATGTACTTTTTAAACTAGAAAACAATTAGCTTCTCCATGGCCTTCCTGGTAGCTGTCATTTGGAATGTGCAGGATATCTCCAGGGACAATATAACGGAACACCTGAAATTGGGACCCTCATGGACAACCACAGTGTACCGGTGCCATACTAGAAATCTTACTGAAGAGTACTTTTTCTCAGTTATCAGTGTCACATGAATCTAAAGCAGACCTAGATCAGAGATTGTCCTAAAAAAAATTGTTGTGGCTTCAATTCAAGTTTTGGGTCCTGGACAAATGTCCTCGGATGTCAGACCGGTTGGTGCCTACTGCTGAGGCAGCTGTAGAACAGCAGAGAGACTGCCTGGCACAAATGCTTCGTCGAACAACTCTGCAAACCTGGAAGGAGCTGAGGAGCTTCACGGGCGCCAGTGGCCTCCGAGACAGGGCAGGACAGGAGCAGTGGCTTCATAATCGGAGTGTGTCCTATAAGATTTGTTCCTTAGGGTCTGGTTTTCACTCCAGCCAGTCAGTGTCCTGGCCTCTGAATGTAACCTTCTCATAATTACCCAGCAGACAAATGCGTGCTGCGAGCGCCAAGGGGGGACAGGAAGCGGTACGGATGCAGGGCAGCACACACACTTGACTCTGGCGGGGCAGATAACGACAAGGAGCACCTCCCACAGACGGGAGACCACGGATGGGCTGAAAAGGAGAGTTCCAGCCAACACACACTTCGAGCCCACATTCACAGGGTTTTGACCTTTGGACTGATACATGACATAAGATGGGATGTTCAGTCTTCACCTCCGCCACCAAACAGGCCTCTGATTGGTGTGAATCTTTCAGTTAATTTTTCTTGTTAGCAGATGCTGGCCTCTGTTGAGACCTTAAGCTTGGTCCCCTGCTGGAAATGCTCTCCTATGGCTAATAGTCAAATGCTTGAAACTTCCTGGAACAGTTCATTCTCAAACTATCATTTCACAAAACCTAAATCAACAGTAGGTGGTAAAAAAAACAACCAGTAAGTGAATCTGTGCAATTGTGCAAAATACTCCGGGAGCCTGCATGGTAGGTAACATGTTATCAGTAACAAACAGACCAGAACCTAAAATGAGTTTAACCGATAAGCAGAACATTTTCAGTAGGAAGCACAGAATTTTCAAATCACCATATTTAAAAGACTGCAAGATATGTTTCCAGGATTGAAAACATGTTCCCCCAAATTGGAATGACCCCATTATCCGCAGAAGCAAATAAAGTGGGTTATGGATTCTGAAACCCCAACCATGGACACATACTTCCCAGCGGTGACGAACATCTCATCGCGGCAGCCGGAGAAGATCACCGTGGTGGCGTTCCCAACGTTGAGGCCGGCAGCGGGGCTGCCGCAGATGGCGTCCCTCTTGGCTATGCTCCACACCACCACGCTGCCCAAGAGAGAGGCACAAGAGAGTCAGGGGAGGACGGGCTTTCAAAAGAAGAAACAGTTCTTTTGGTGGTTTTAGGAAGAAAGAAAGAACACATGTTACTTACAAGGGAACAAAAGAATGATATTGACATCACCTCATTCACAATGGACATGAGAAGACAAATGAGTGACAGAAATTTTTGAAGGAAAATGATTATGAGGCTAGAAATCAGTGAGTGCATCAATCAAGGCTGACGCTAAAATAAAGACATTTTCAGACACTCAAGACATAAAAGCTTATCACCCATTTATATCATGTAAAAAATTTCCTTGGGGAAGTATTCCAGAAAAAGAAAAAGCAATAAAGACGACGACCTAATGCAGTATCCTCAGACCTGAACGTGAATCAGAATCACTCCTAGGGCTCGTTAAAACAGAGGCCTCTGGGACCCGCCCTGGAGCTTCTCCGGCAGAAGGTCTGGGTGGGGCCTGAGGATTTGCTCTTCTCAGAAGTCCCAGGAGATGCTGATGCCTGGGCAACGGGGCCCCACCTTAAGCGGCATGGCTTTGGGTTCCATTTCCTTCTTTCAACTCAGTCCTAAATTTCATAGTGTTGGATAATAATACTAAAAATGCCAGGGAAACATCTGAATCAAAGTATTAAAGAAATAGAATACAAATGTTGCAAAACTTGTTAATGTAAAATTATGCCTATTTATATTTTCCACATTTTCTACACATAGAATATGTTATCACAGGTAATCTAAAATTAAGTATAATCGAGCTCCCCAAGAATGGGGAGGCAGGAGATTGTCTAAGAGCCATACATTTTTTTCCTTAGTAAGAAATTTATAGATACCATCGAAGGTGGAAAAGTTGAGAGATATAGCAATTAAAAATGTATACTGACACCCTGGCTGGTGTAGCTCAGTGGATTGAGCATGGGCCTGTGAACCAAAGAATTGTGGTTCAATTCCCAGTCAGGGCACATGCCTGGGTTGCAGGGCAGTTCCCGGCAGGGGACCCACAAGGAGCAACCATACATTGATATTTCTCTCCCTCTTTCCTTCCCTTTCCCTCTAAAGATAAATAAATAAAATCCTTTTAAAAAGTATACTGATAAGTAGGTGAACAAAACAAACAAACAAACAAAACCCTCTTAAAACCAAGTACCTTATACCCAAGAAAAATGAAAACATACATATGTACAAAATCTTATACATGAATGTTCATTAGCAGGATTACTGATAATAGACTTAAGAGTAGAAAAGATCCCCAAACCCATCAACTATGGAATGGATAAAGAAAAAGTGGTATATCCATACAATGGAATATTATTTGACAATGAAAGATAATGAAGTACTGATATATCAATAATATGAATGAACCTTGGGAACATTGTGCTTAATAAAAGAAATCAGTCACAAAAGACCACTTACTGAACGACTCCATATAGTCTAAACATCCAGAGCAGCCAAACACGTAGAGACAAAGCAGATTCATGGTTGCCTGGGGCTGGGAGGGTGCTGGTTGGTCAGGAATGAGGGGTGACTGCTAATGGGCGTGGGGTTTCTTTTGGGGGTGTTGACAATGTTCTAAAATTAATGATGGTGATGGCTACACAACATAGCATGTAAAAAATTTCCTTGGAAGTATTCTAGCAAAAAAACCCCCACCCAAAACCCACTCAATTAACCACTATAGTAAAACCACTCAACTGTATTTCTTAAATGGATTAATGTTATTGTATGTGAAATATATCTCAAAAGTCCTGTACAAAAAGAATCCAAGTGCCTCTGGTGAGGAAGGCTCTTCATGGTGGAGGGAGTATGGATTTTGAATCCATCTGCATAGTAGGGTGACACACTTTCTTTATAAATCATAGATAGGTATAGCTTTAATTGTTCAAAAACAAGTTTAGAACTTAAAAATAAGTAAAAGTCACTTGCATAGAAAGAGAATTAGCTGGATAAATTCCAGCACATCTGTACAAGGAATACTGTGTAGTCATTGCAAAGAATGGGTTACATACACGTCTACCTGTACACAGAGAATATATCCTTGAGATAAAGTCAATCAAAAAGCTGCATTACAACACTGATATATGGTAACAATAATGCAAACAAGGTTCATAAATAGTTTGCAAAATGTTTTGGGAATGCACGCACACTTGAACTGCCAGATGCCTACTACGGTTCCTGGCGTCCCTTCCCTTCCTCCTCCCATGCAGAAGCCTCGTGGTGTGGGTAGGACGGCCCCTCCCACAGGTCCAGGGCTGATCCCTGGTTATCTAAAAGCGTCCCTCAGAATCCTGTCTTCCCCGTTACCATGGCTCTTCAGGGATAGGCAGTTTCTTGTCCAGCAAGGTATGTTTTTCTTTCTTTAGGAAAGAAACTTTCTTCAGAATGTTTTTCTCAACCTCCCCCAATTTTCTGCAAGTACATTTTAGAAAGCCTAAAATCAAACTTAAAATTACAGAGATGAACAATTTTGCAGATTAACCTTGATTAAGGGCCATTATTTTTCTTCCCCAAGGCCTAGTCTTGGCATCTTTCTGGCAGAAACAAGGTGGAAGTGCAAGTGGCCTGATTGCCAAGCTCCAGGAACCTCTGGGCTGGGACTCAGGCATTGGGAGTTCTAAAACTTCCCCAGGTGATTCCAGTGTGCACCCAAAGTTGAGAATGGATGCCTTCAGTTAAGCTAAGAACATTAACAGATGATTCCTGGGTACATTTTGTATCAAAAACAGCCAAATGGGGATGGCGCAGGGAAGTGGGACCACTCAACATAGGAAGGGCACAACTATTAAAGGAGAAAATCTCATACAAATTCTGTGGACTTGTATCCATCAAGAACTATCAACATACACATACAACTACACATAAACATGAATTTCATTGGTCATAAAACCTGTGGAGCTCAAACAGGAAAGTACCTGTAAAGGTAAACCACAGAACTAAACTCTACACAAACCTCAGGTGTTATTATTTTTCTTCTACAGACTATTTGCATAGGCATATAGACTGTGTTGATTGTTCTTCTTGATACAATATTTTTAAATACTTCCTCACCCCACCACACTCCGGTTTCATTTGTGTGTATTCTCTGCCTACTATGTGTTCCTTAAGGGCAAAGATCATGTCTTGGCGAGGCAAGTTAAAAAGGCCACATCTGGAGTCACACCACCACGGTTTGTCTCCTAGCTCTGCTGCTCACCAGCTGGTAGCTTTGGTTGCTCATTTAGTTCCTCCCGGCAGCGACAGCTCTCACCTGATGGAGTTGTTGTAAGGCTTACATGAGATAATGCAGTTAAAGTGCAGCACCCGCCTGTTACATTGTAAGTACTCACAAAAGTTAGCTGTTGCCTTTCATGCTGCTTTTGATGATGACGTTGATGATGATTATGTCTTTTTTTTTGCAGCAATGGTTATAAAATTTAGGTGCACATTAGAATCATGTGGGAAGCTTTTGTTACTCTTAAAGCCCAGGCCAATCAAATCAGACTGTCTGAAGGTGGAGCCAGGCATTAGTAATTTTCTAAAGCTCCCCAGTGGATTTCAGTTCATAACCAGGGTTGAGAACCATGGTCCCATGAAATTTTCCTCATGGGTTTTCTCACCCCCCCACCCCCCTGCCACACACACGCAAATGCAGATGAGCCAACAGGGAATGTTAAAGGGGAGAGGGCACTTGACATGACTAGAAATATGCCACTGGACAATAAGTAAACATGTTTAGTTCCCTACCTTCCATCATCTGGGCCTCCTAATGATACCAAGTACAGATCATTCGGTGAAAAGGCCAGGTCTTCAATTTTGCCCTTGTGAAGAGACAGCCGAGCAATAAGCTCCCTTTTCTTATAATCCCACAGAATGATATCTGCCTGGGGGAAAGACGACACAGTCAGATCAGAGACGGGCTCTAAAGGACTGAGAAGAGGGCTACACCCTCCAGTGAAAAAGGATCCATAACGCCAGTTTTCTAGAAATTACAGCAGGACCTACAAACGTGACAGCAACAAACTGGAAACGGTTTTAAACAGTGGTTTTTGTTCCTGAGCATTATCAGTCACCAACAGCAACATCTGGTGTGAAAACATAGGATCCCTTCACTCTCAGCCTGATAGATTGAAAGCGAGGTCAAAGAGAAGTCAAGAGGAAGAAGAGGAGGGGTGAAAACACGAGTCAGTGCTAAGCTGGAGTGGGGTGGTTTTGCTAGGCAGGCACTTCTAAATCCGTTCACAATGAGTTACTTCAGTTTATTCACCTTGAAGCCCATGAATGTGACTTGTCCTGAGGCAATGTAAACTCCGCTCTGGGAGATGGTCACGCAGGAGACATTGTTGCCATGACCTTGCAGGAAATACTGTTCCTTAGTATTTATTGCCTGAATGAGCACTGTGCAACCCAGAGGGTAAATCAAATGCTCCTGGTCAGGATGGCATTTCAGACCAGCAGGCACATGTCCTAAAAGAGACAGATTAAAAATAATAGTAAGGTGCAAAACTGGGTGGTATTTGAGTACAAAGGAGAACACTTTTGAAATGAGCCTTAGTTCAACTAAAATAAGTGGGGGGTGCAAGGTAATTTTATCCCACTGACAAGGTCAATCTAGTACCATACACGACTTCTCCGACTTTAATGGACATGAAATCCCTGGGGAATCTGGTTGAAATGTAGGTTCTGATTTTAGGTCTGGGGTGGGGCAGAGATTCCACACTTCTAACAAGCCCCCAAGTGCTGCTGGTACTGGGGCTGGCCAAGGAACCTCACTCTGAATAGCAAGGCCTGCACAGGAAGACTGCAGGAAGCTCAAGCAGCCAGCCTGCCCTGGTGAGTGCGGCCCTTGAGTGCGCAGGCTCCTGTGGGTGCGCAGGCATAGGGAAAATGGGAATTCACTACCCTGGCTGCAAGTTTGGTAAAGATCAAATTTTGGTTTCAGTTCTAAGTCTCTACCAGGCACGCTGAAGAATCCCAGGACCTCTCACAGGGAGATGCCACCTTCCGGATATTTGCCAAGAACCATGTCAACACTGGCACACCTTTGTAACATGCTTTGATATGAAACGGACACAAGTCCTTATCACTCATCTTTGGTCAGGATTCTTTTCATCTGTGCCTCATATTTATTTTACAATATACACTTTAATTTCAGCTTGACTTGTTAAAATTCACTTTTAGTGGGATGTATTAAATGTGTAGATTAATTTAAGGAAAGATAATTTTTATAAAAATACATTATGATGTCTCCTTCCTAAAAACAGGGTATGTTTTTCCATGAAATTTCCTTTTACGTCTCTCTTGCCCAGTAGCATTCCCAATTTTTCTTTGGAAAGATCTCACACATTATGTTTATTCCTGGATATTTTAACATCTTTGTTATTGCTATTTCCTGCTCCCCCCAAAAGAGTCATAAATATTTATTAATATAGCCTTCTGGTCTTATTCATCTTTTATATTTAACTCCCTCTGGCATTTATTTTGGTGCATAGTGTAATCCCAGCAGCTCAATAGATTTTCCTTTTGCTCAAATGGTCAGATACATTTATCAAGCAGATGATTTCTTTCACTTCGTTCCTTTTTTATGCAGTAAATTCTCATAATACTAAGCTTTGTGTCAGGGGTGATCTATTCCTACTAAAAACATACTTATTTTTTTCTAATTGCAGTCTCCGTATAGATAATCACATGGCCATCCATATGGAAAAAAGGAAAATTAGATCCTACTTCACACCATCTGTAAACAATACATTCCAGGTAGCTTAAGGATCTAAACGTGAAAAACAAGACTCAATGTATATACAAGCTGTAGGAAATGATTTCTTAAACATAACATAAAAAGAGCAAATCCTAACACAAAAGGCCAACATATGCATCCAGTTCTGCTTAAAATTAAAAACTTCTAAGACAAAAGACAAAAATAATACTTTGGTAAAGATGAAATTTTATCTTTGCCAAGATAGCCTCTTCAACAAATGGTGTTGGGAGAACTGGACAGCTACATGCAAAAAAATGAAACTTGAGCACCAACTTACACCATACACCAAAATAAATTCAAGGTGGATAAAAGACTTAAATATAAGCCCTGAAACCATTAAAGTCTTAGAGGAGAACATTGGCAGGAAAATCTCACATATTTCACACAGCAACATTTTTACAGATATGTCCCCTAGAGCAAGGAATATAAAGGAAAGAATAAACAAATGGGATCTCATCAAAATAAAAAGCTTCTGCATGGCTAAAGAAAACAGTATTAAATTAAAAAGACAACCAACTGTATGGGAAAACATATTTGCCAATGATACCTCAGACAAAGGTTTAATCTCCAAAATATACAAAGAACTCACATGACTGCACTCTAAGAAGACAACTAACCCAATTAAAAAATGGAAAAAGGACTTGAACAGATACTTCTCCAAGGAGGACATACAGAGGATCCAGAGACACATGAAGAGATGCTCAATATCATTAGATATCAGAGAGATGCAAATTAAAACCACAATGAGATACCACTTTACACCAGTCAGGATGGCTATCATAAACAAAACAACAAACAACAAATGTTGGAGAGGTTGTGGGGAAAAGGGGTCCTTAGTTCACTGTTGGTGCAATTGCAGACTGGTACAACCAATATGGAAAACAGTATGGAATTTTCTCAGAAAAATAAAAATCGACCTGCCTTTTGACCCAGCAATTCCACTGCTGGGATTATATCCTAAGAACCCTAAAACATCAATTTCAAAGAACCTATGCAGCACAATGTTCATAACAGCACAATTTACAATAGCCAAGAGTTGGAAGCAACCTAGGTGCCCGTCAGTAAATGAATGGATCAAAAAATTGTGGTACATATACACAATGAAATTCTATGCAGCAGAGAGAAAGTAGGAGCTATTACCCTTTGCAACAGCATGGATGGAACTGGAAAGCATTATGCTGAGTGAAATAAGCCAGGTGTTGAAAGACAAATACCATGTAATCTCACCTTTAACAGGAAGCTAAACAAGAAAACAAACAAGCAAGCAAAATAAAAACAAAGACACTGAAATAGAGAACAGAGGGACAGCGACCAGAGGGGAAAGGGGAGGGAATTTAAGGGGAAAAAAGGGGAGGGATTTGGAGGAACAAATAGGAAGGACACAGGGACGAGAACTAAGGGGGGTGGAAATGGGAGGGAGGTGGGGAGCACGGGGCAGGGTGGTCTGGGATGGGAGAAATGGACAGAAAACTGTAGTTGGAAAATAATTAAATTTAAAAAATTATTTTAATTTTATCTTTACCAAAAAATGAAAAGAAAATGCCAAACCAGGAGGTATTTGCTATGTATGTAAATTATTGTATTTATTTTTGCAAGTATAGATGTGGATTACATTCAGAATATACAAAGCAAATACAAACTTCCCAACAGAAGAATGAGCAAAGGGTAGAACAGGCAATTTCCTTTTTTAAAACAATTTTTAAAAAGATTTTATTTATTTATCTTTAGAGGGGAAGAGAAGGAGAGAGGTAGAGAAACATCAATGTATGGTTGCCTCTCGTGTGTCCCCTGCTGGGAACTGGCCTGCAGCCCAGGCATGTGCCCTGATTGGGAATTGAACTGAGATTCTTTGGTTTGCAGGCCCACCCTCAATCCACTGAGCTACACCAACCAGGGCAGAACAAGCAATTTCTGATGGAGAAAATTAAAAAGCCAACAAACATATGAAAAGATGTGCAACTTCACGAGTAAACGGGAAATGCAAATTACAACCAAAATGAGATATCATTTGGCTAAGATTAAAAAAGACTGACAATACCAAGCGTTAGTGATGATGCGGAACAAAGGGAACACTCATGCACTGCTTGGTCAGAGGCAAAAACTGGTAAAATTGCTTTGGAAAACAAAGCGTCCATATTGAGTATGGTTGCCTAGAACCAAAATCCACTTTTGGGTATATAGCCCAGAGAAATACTTGCAATTGCCCTTGTATTCTCAGTGAATAGCATATTACTTGGTATATGGTGATTCTAAATACATGCATAGTTGACTAGGAGAGAATATAAATTGTCACAAAACCAATAAAGTAAAAAGTTAATATGGGCTATTCTAAACGGCCAAGATAACTAGTAATCACCGTGGAAGACATTGGGATATAATTTGCCCTACATTTACTCTCAGAGCTCTACAAAACAGCGTGAATTCAGCTGCAGAGCTCTATGTTTGACGATCTACCCTGGTCACCAGTATGACCCTTCACCCAGACTGCAGGCCTCACTTCCTTTACCAATGATTTTGGAACCAACTCTAAAGATGGCCGGTATCTCAGATGTACTAAGTGTTCACTTTCTGTCGGAGATGATTAAATTAAAGTGAAGATAAGAGTCAAGAGCCATGTTCTAGAACGCTCTTAAAATCTTGGTCATTGATTGTTCTGTAAGTACAATTTTACATTTTAAAGCTTTCAGGCATCACAATGTGCATTTAAAAAGTTCGCTTTTCTAAAATGTAATTTATTGCTTTTTTTCACCCTTCAGAAAAAAAGAAAACCAAACATCATTTCGCCCCCTTAATGTTCAAAATAATAGTCACAAATAAGGATTTGAGCAGAACCTCCAGGCTACCTCTGACCAAAGCATCTCTCTTCCACAGCGCCCCCTGGCGTCCTTTTCGACTGCTATAGTAGTCCGAAGTCCTTACAATTAGAATCCTTCTTTCGAGTTAGAGCACAAAGATCATCCCCTGAAGCGGTTGCTCAAGCACACTTTCCTTTCCCAACTCTTTCTTATAAATAAATACATCAGCTGGGATGTTGGAAGTTAGTTGGTCCCAGGGGCCATCATGGACTCAATAGTGCAGTGATAATCGAGGGGCGGGCAGCTTTGCGGGCTGCATGGGGCTTAGAGCCAGGGAGGGCTGACCTGTGGGAGAAGGGTTACAACCACCCTTATCCTTAGGGCCCGGTGAAGAGGCTTTTGGTCCCTTTAGGTGCTGGCAATGACTATTCAGCTCACCGAGACACGGAGTGAGAAAGTGACCCTGAGGGTTTGGTGCAGGAGAAGCTGTGGTGTCCCTTCACTACATCTTCTCCCAAACCACCCAGCCCAAACATGCTCATGCCCTCACCATTGAAGCCGATCACAGCCTCAAGCTCCAGTTCGGCCACCTCGGTGTTCGGCGCAATTTGGTTCTCCATCACTGGGAGAGACATCTCTCACTTTCAAGCTCCAGACTTGCGGCGTCTCTGGTCGTTATGGTAACGGACGTGCGCGTGCGCATCACATCCACGCCTGCGCTAAAGCTAGCCTGCGGATTTTGCAAATTCGTATTCATACTCTTTTCCTATTTCTGTGGAAATTTAGGGAGCACCAAATGCACAGAACAAATTATTTCTTCCCCCGTGTAATGAGTCTGTGATCTTTCTGGTAACTATATAATCAAGCACCTAATGGCATTTAAAAATTAATCAAACACAGGATTTCTTTTGAGTGGGTGACTTGCCGTAAAAATAATATGTAATTAATACATCTTCAGGTCTACTGTTTGAAGCTGAATAAAGAATTTTTTAAGCTTTATTGAGGTGTAATTTGTATATCGTAAAATTCACTTAAAGTGAGTTTTAGTAATCTGTACTGTTGTGCAATGACCAGTAACATCATTTTTGTTTTAAGCAGACTAAAATTTTCTCTTACCTGTTAGAGGTTTTGGGGCGATCCCACTTCCAGGGGGAATGCTTAAATTGTGTTCAATAATTTTAACTGCATCCACCTGTTCGCGTTTCTTAGCTGAAGCAGATTGTGCTCCAACCTACTGTTCTCCAGGGGAGCACTTTTCTTTATCATAGTTTGGGGGACCGGGTGTATGAGTATATTCCCTTTGCTAACTCCCTGTTCCGGTCGCGTTCGAGTCGAGTAGCGGGGTATGCGCCTCGCGGGCCGCCGTAGTCCGCTGCTGAGAGCAGGAAGTGTCCGAGAAGCGCGGGGAGGCTGCACTATGGCTCCGGACCCCTGGTGAGTCTCGGGTGTTGGCGGCCTCGCGCCCCAGGTCTTTGGGATAGTGGCCGGGTTTTCCGGAAGCGGCCGGTCGGTAGGCCTTTCGGGATGAGAGGAGGGGCAGCCAGGACCCTTTCCCTGCTGACCGGGACACTGCCGCATCCCGCCATCCTCGTTGTTTGCAGGGGTAGCTGGGGGCGGTGAACCCCTAGGAGCGGAAGGCTAGTACCTGAAATCTGAACACTCCTCTAACTCTTCTTGGCTGCATCTCACCAACGGGATTTGCCGCTTACCCTGGGCTCCTGCGAAAGTGAAATAGAAGTAACCTTTTTGTGGAATGCCTGCCCATCTGGCGAATCTCCTTATTTCACAGGTGGAGAAACTGAGGTTTAGAATCCGTGGTCACCAGCCGATTAGTAATCACTTGGCACTAGGACCTACGTCTTGTGGGTCCTTCAAAACACTTGTAGGAATCTGGGAGGGAAATTATGCATTTGTTTATAAGGCATTTGACCCTTACCTGAGTCAATATCATGAAGACTTTCTCCAGCAACAACTGTTGCAGTAAAATAGCTGTTTAGTTTATTCAACAATGAAAACTCCAAGGACTGAATGATGAAAAATACAAGTTCCACTCCCAAGGAACATACTGCTTTAGCATATTGGACTTGAGCCTTTTAAAAAATAATTAAAAGCATGTTATAGTTCTATAAAGTTCTTGTTGGAATATATGTTTTATGTTGGCATTTCTAAGGCAGTTTATAATTGCTTAAGTCTGGACATTAGGGGAATGAATTGCAAGACCAAAGTTAGCAATCCCTGAGATCTAAGTCATCTGGGCCAATGGCTTAATTGATTTAACACTAATTTTTTCCCACCTATTTTAAACAATTTTATACACCCTGATAGAAAATTTAGAAAATATTGAATATTTGCAGAGGAGAAAAACCGACATCTTTAACTCTATCATTTGTAATAGTAACCATTATTGATTTTAAGATGAATCTATTACGTCAATGTATATATGTATGTATATGTTTACAAATATATTTCTCCATATTATTAATACTTACTTACAATACTTTTTTTCTGATTTTGAGAGTACATTTACTAAAGCTGGGCACAGTGAAACAAGAAAGGGCTTAGGATGAAGAAGCAACAGAAGAGAGACTAGGCAGGGCTGCTTTGGTTCACAGAGAAGTCAGAGAAAGGGGGCCTTGGAGACAGGCTCAAGGGGTTAGCCCTGAACGAGCTACTACTGCTGGCCACTGCTCCCTTGGTTGCAAGTCTAGGGGGGTCCCTTAGGGTTTAGGAGATAGGTGCCTGTGGGGTAGGAAGAGCACTGACAGCACATTTTTATAGTGCATAATAATTCCAGGAATAACCATATTTTATTTAATTTTTTCACTTGTATCTCTGTAATATTAGGATATTTTTGTTTTGTTTTTAATTATTATAAAGACTACACCTTTATTCCATCTCTTATTTCCTTGGTACACTTCTGAGAAGTGAAACTGTTGGATCCAAGGGGTGAACATTTTTAAGGCCCTTGATAAGATATTGCTAAATTGCTGTCTGCCTCCTGGAAGCTAACTCCCTCACATTACACCTAGGGTAGGATTATAAAGCTCAGAAGTGAGAGAGAGGCCCCAGGTTATCCATGTAGGTTGGTGGAAGCTATCACTGGACCCCAAGCCTCTTTCATAGCTAATGTTGAAAAAACATTTATAATGGTTCCTGTTACTATGAAGTAGCTTGATTTAGTGGCTTTTTCATTTGACTGTTGAAAAAAGCAGCTGGGTTTCCACTCCTGATCTAGCTGTCCTTTTAGTTTGCTTTTGTTTTAGGTGTGGTTGTTAATAACTGTGAGTTTGTTGTCCTTTCACTGTTCATGTTTCTTTAACTTCTTTTTCTTAGATAAGTCTCTTTAACATTTCATATAATAAGGGCTTGGTGAGGATGAACTCCTTGAATTTGATCTTATCTGAGAAGCACTTTATCTGTCCTTCCATTCTAAATGAAAGTTTTGCTGGATAAAGCAATCTTGGTTGTAGGTCTTTGGATTTCATGACTTGGAAACATAGAAATGAAGATCACATGGAGGGTTAGCAACAGGGGAGTGGGAGGAGGAGAAGAGGGGAGAAGGTACACAAAATAAGTAGCATAGACAGTAGATAGAAAATAGATGGGGGGGCAAGAATAGCATGGGAAATATAGAATCTAAAGGACTTGAGACACATGGGCATAAACTAAAGGGGGGGTAATGGTGGGGATGGGGGGGTAGGGTGGAGGGGAATGAAAGGGGGAATAGAACCACTGTAACAGCATAATCAATTAAAAAAAGTAAGAAAAAAGCAGCTGGGGAACTTGGCTGTGCTACCATGGGTTTACTTTGCAAAATGGGTTGCTGATCTGCAAGGTAGAGGGGAGTATGGAATGGGACTTTGAAAAACCTATAAAAACAGACTCGACTGTAGCTTTGCTTTTGTGCTATTGAAAATCATAGGTCAATGACACTTTGCTCCTGATTAGTGTTATAATGTTTAGGACTGAAATGGCATATCACAGCAAGTGGTAAGCTCACTGTTTAATAGTAGCAAGTGATTATTTTCTCTGAACTTTTTGCTAATAAAGTTAATTGGCTTCACTGCTGGGGCAACTTATTTGTTGATGATATACCATTTCTGGAAATATTACAGTTAAATCTTAATAGTTTTATATTCTTGTTGAACTTGTTTTTTGAGGGTCTTGTTAATACAAAAAGAGGAATTAGTGAACATTGGACTTTTTCCACCTCTTTTTAAAAATATATTTTATTGATTATGCTATTACAGTTTCGGCATTTTTTTCCTCCCCTTTATTCCCCTCTGCCCTGCACCTCCGTCTCCCACCAACATTCCCCCACCTTAGTTCATGGCCATGGGTTGTACATATAGGTTCTTTGCCTTCTCCATTTCCCATACTATTTTTAACCTCCCTCTGTCTATTTTGCACTTACCATTTATGCTGCTTATTCCCTGTACCTTTTCCCCTATTCTTTCCCCTCATCCTTCCTGCTGATAACCCTCCATGTGATCTCCATTTCTGTGATTCTGTTCCTGTTCTAGTGTCCTTAGTTCATTTTTGTTTTTGTTTTTAGGTTCAGTTGTTGATAGTTGTGAGTTTGTTGTCATTTTACTGTTCATAATTTTGATCATTTTCTTAGATAAGTCCCTTTAACATTTCATATAATATCGTCTTGGTGATGATGAACTCCTTTAACTTGACTTTATCTGGGAAGCACTTCATCTGACCTTCCATTCTAAATGATAGCTTTGCTGGATAAAGTCATCTTGGATGAGGTCCTTGCCTTTCATGATTCTGAATACTTTTTTTCAACCTCTTCTTGTCTGTAAGGTTTCTTTTGAGAAATTAGCTGATAGCATATGGGAACTCCTTTGTAGGTGACTGTCTCCTTTCCTCTTGGTGCTTTAAGATTCTCTCATCTTTAATCTTGGGGAATGTAATTATGATGTGCCTTGGTGTGCTTCCTTGGGTTCAACTTCTTTGGGACTCTGTGAGCTTCCTCGTCTTCCTGGAAGTCTGTTTCCTTTGCCAGATTGGGGAAGTTCTCCTTCATTATGTTTTCAAATAAGTTTTAAATTTCTTGCTCTTCCTCTTCTCCCTCTGGCACCTCTGTGATTCAGATATTGGAACATTTAAAGTTGTCTTGGAGGTTCCTAGGCCTCTCCTCATTTTTTTGAATTCTTGTTTCTTCATTCTGTTCTGGTTGAGTGTTTATTTCTTCCTTCTGCACCAAATGGTTGATTTGAGACCCAATTTCCTTCCCTTCACTGTTTGTTCCATGTATATTTTCCTTTATTTCACTTTGCATAGCCTTCACTTCTTTCTCTATTTTGTGACCATACTCAACAGTTTCTGTGAGCATCCTGATTACCAGTGTTTTGAACTCTGCATCTGATAGGTTGGTTCTCTCTTTGTTGCTTAGTTCTATTTTTGGAGCTTTGATCTGTTCTTTCACTTGGGCCATATTTCTTTGTCTCGATGAGCCTGTTGGTAGGTAGTAAGGGGCAGACTTAGGTATTCTCCAGGGTGGGGCAACCCATGTTGCTCTGTTGTGACACTGTATGTGGGGGAGGGGTCCAAGAGGTAACAATACTGCTTGTTCAGCTCTCGGCTGGCTTTCAGTCATTTCCCCTGCTACCCACAAGCAAATTGGGCCCTTCTAGTGCTGATTCCTGGGTGGGTGGGTTTGTGTACATTCTAGGACCCTGTGGGTCTCTCCAATGGACTCTCCTGTGAGGCTGGGAGTTTCTCCCAATGCCACCTCAACCCTCACAGGTTTTAACAATCAGAGGTTTTGAGGCTTTATTTTCCAGAGCTGGAACCCTGGGTCAAGGTCTTCTCTCCAGTTGCTCCTCCCTGTTTATCTCCACATAAATGTGGGACCATGTGCTCCTCCAGCCACCACCTCGCCACGAGTCTTCTCCACCTGGCTGCCCATCTCCACCCCTCCTCCCTATCTGGATGGATGTTTCTTTTTTAACTCCTTGGTTGTTGGACTTCCATACAGTTTGATTTCCTGGAAGTTCTGGTTATTTCTTGTTTTTAAATTTGTCCTTCTTTTGGTTATGCAAGGAGGCAAACTGTATCTACCTCTGCCTCCATCTTGGCTGGAATTTCTCTCATCTGTTTACTTTTTAAAAATTGTATTGTGGAAGGTAAAAAATGTATACACAGTAGAGTAGTATGACGAGCCCCTTTATATTCATAATCCAGTTTCTGGAATTATCAATATTTTGCTATTTTCTTTCATCTCTGTTCTTTATGTCTTTTTTTCTGTGTGTATTTTAATGTAAATGTTGTGTGTGTGTGTGTGTGTGTGTGTGTGTGTGTGTACTGAAGTATGCATTCAGTATTTTTGTACTAGAAGGAGGCCCAGTTCGTGGTCTGGAAATTTCTCTCGTTTTCCCTTTTCTAGTACCTCAGTCTCTGTCACAGCGTCACTTGTGCCTGAA